TGTTCCCCTATTTACATCTAATTTTATACAGGTGATTTCCTACATTTTAGAATTCTACAACATTAGTGTAATTTTTTATTTTCTTTATTAACACTGAGCCATTTCTTTCCTTAGCCGCTGTTCCCTCCACTCCCTCATTTCCAGACATTTTAATATTATATGTACAGCATTTTCATCTCACTACAAAAGGGTTTCTTCCCTCCTGAAAAAATTTCATCTGTCTCATCTTCCAGATATCAGTCTAAAACCATGCCAGCCCACTTCTCTTATCGTTTAGTACGACAAACTGTGTTATCTTCCCTAGCCCATTTCAGTTTAATCATTATGCTCGCCATGTCAAAGTATTCCTTGTCTTGACTCTCCTCCAACCCAAAAATCAATGTTTCCGCTGCGTCCCTATTCCACTCATCTTACTTTTCCATCTGCCATCTGTTGCCCCTTCTCCCAGTCTTAGAAAAAGAGGTACAACTTTGTAACTATTATTTAAGACATGTGCAAATACAAAGTTGGTACTGCAATACTGGGGGATACTTTGACGACCCGTTCTTCAAGTGCCTGAGCACTGCGGGTCCCAACTTTTCGTTGGCTTGATCTATAGACATTCGGTAGGACTCCTTGGACGAGGGATCGGCCCATCGCAAGGCCCCTACCTGTACACAGGACAGCACAACACAGAATAACGCGGACAAACATCCATGGCTTGAGTGGGATTCGAACCCATGGTCCCAGCGACCAAGCGGCACAAGGCCCATGCCTCAGACCGTGCGGCCACTGTAGACCCCTGGTACTATAAAAGGACTGGGTTTTGTGAAGCAGTTTCTTTCAAATTTTTTATATTTATGTATCTACATTAATGTAAATTAACTATGTGTATATACTGAGGAATATTGAAATTTTTAGTAAGTTAAATTCTTGTAAGAAAGCTATTTGTATAAAAACACTAATACAAAATTGTCAGTAAAATCTTGTAAGCACTAGAAGGTGATGAGACATTAGGCCAAAACACATTTTCTTTAACTTAACTAACTAACTTACATGAGAGATGTAAGGTTCTTTCATCCTGGTTAGTGGAAGTCGCATGCATATGCTTTACTTCTCTGTGCCATTAATCTGGACTCTTTGTTGGAAAATGTACCTATATCCTCTTGCAGTGTTAGGATCAACTTTAGCTGCAGAATATGTGGCATAGCTGCAAATACATATGATGCAAAGGGTCCATGATGAAGAAAACTTATTTTCACATAATTTGATTTTTCAATGACAATTAGTACACATCCTAACCACCAAAAATTATCGTACATACATGTCACAAATCGTGTGATGTCTTTCAATTGAACCATGTATTCTACCACACCAATCACATGGTTCTCCACATAACTAACTAACTAGATGGCTTACCGAACACGAACGTTCATCACCGAATTAACCAAAGCCCTCCATCGGACCCTGTCCTGGGCCAACAAAATCCAGTCTCCTTCAACTCCTATCTCCGATAGATCCCGCCTGAGATTATCCTCCCATCTACTGTATACACTGAACTTCAATACTTTTTTGTACAATGTTACAAGTTCATGCATATGTGTCTAACATACAGAAGTCATTCCATTTCTAATGATCATGGAAAATGATGCAAAAAAAGTTTCATTCATACTCATTTCCTCTTATTGACTAACCAGTCTGCCAACACCCTAATAACAATCATGAACATTGCTGTGGTAAACTCAAGGTAAAAGGACAACAACCTTCAAATTGTCATGTCAAGGCATCAAGAGTACACCTAACTAACTAGATGGCTTACGCAACCCAAAGGTTCATCACTGAATTAACTAAAAAGCCTGCCACGGGTCCCTGTCCTGGGCCAGCAAAATCCAATCACCTTCAACTCCCATAGATCCCGCCTGATATTTTCCTCCCATCTATGTGTAGATCTCCCCCAGCAGTCCCCTCCCTCAGGCTTCCCAATCAGTACCCAGTGCACACCTTCTGTCCCATCCATGCATGCTACATGCCCTGCCCATCTCATTCTTCTTGACTTAATCACCCTGACAATACTGGGGGAGGAGTACAGATTTTTAAGCTCGTCATTATGCAGTTTTCTCCACGTCCCACCGTCTTCTCTCCTAGGCCCAAATATCCTCCTCAACAGCCAATTCTCAAACACCTGCAATCTGTGTTCCTCCCTCTGAGTGAGAGACCATGTTTTGCACCCATAAATAACACATGGTTCTCCATACAGTTAGGATAAACACAATAAATTTTTGTGTCAAATATGCGTTTCTTAATTGTCATAAACGCATGGAGCTACTGAGTTCCAAGTCCAGTTTCAGATTTTGCAAATCAGCTTGCATTAATTTTCTGTCACAAAATCAAAAGTGAGGCTTTATGTAAACTGGATTGAGCTCATTCACACAGCTGACGAGGTGTCATTATATGGTGATCATATGGTCTGTGCAAGACATTTTTTAGAGTGCCACTAAGCCCATCGCAAGCACTCTTCCTACGGAATGTCGTAAATATGTGTCACTCTGCTGGCATTCCAAAGTCTTCATTGTGACATGTTTCTGTTTTTGTATTGGGCTGCAGACCCAGAGCAGTAAACAGTATTTTGCAGTGGTGATTCTACTGTGTTTTCAATAAACTGTATTTATTAAAATTAAATCATACTTCAAATAATCTGATATCATTACCAGATTCTAACGCTCTATTTAAAGCATCTTATTTCTTTAAATAAGTCACAAATGGATGAATAGTGCTTGTGCATTGTTCCACTGAATCCGTTGTGTTTATGGAGGATTTGAAGTTTTCACGGCAGTGTATCCAAAGATGGCTGTCTTCTGGGTTGTAACGCTGTGTAGTCAGGTAGATGTCTACCAACATTTCAGAGGTCCTTGCTGCTGCCATCTTTGGATTCACCACCACGAAAACCTCAAATCCGACTAAGTCTTTTTACAAGTTCAGACAAAAAATATTCAATTTTGAGAGGGGTTTATTGTGACCTGTGTTGACTGTCATGGAACGACCTGTACCTGCACTGTAGCATAATTAGCCTACATCCACTGCAGCCAGTGAATTATGAGCCAGAGCCAACAATAAGGTCATACAAGCCTCCAGCACAACCATCTCCACCCCTGGAGAGTGAATGAATGAAATCACCCACATCCACCTCATCCTGAGAAATGGCATTCAAGAAACAAAGTTCTGTGACACCCAAAGATTCTCTTGAATTACTGTCAAACCCAATTTTCCTACAAAGTTATTTCAAACAAGAACTGTAATATTCCAAAAAGCTGATACTTGCATGTATTTCCCTACTGTCAAGGTTTGTAACATTATACTTTGTGTAAAGATGTAATAGAAATGCCACAAGGATAGCAAGAAGAAAGCTAAACTATGACATGAAGCCTTAGCATATGAGTTACCTGGTTCTGTAATTGGCGAGTTACGATAAGGAAAAGATGTCAAAAAAGACATTACACAAAGATACATGGACAAAATGTGGTAATAACACTATAGATAAAGTCCAATTCTTTTGAAATATCTGTTCGTACAGATTTTTGCTGAGCCACATTCTTGGGGAAATTCGACTTTACTGGTAATATATCTATGCATTCACCCTTCTGTCATTGCTTATTAGGCCTCAAATTAAACAAATAAAATATAACTTAAACGCTATAAATCTGAACAAAACAAGTCCATTCCATACCACTCCGGCCGAGTTTGACTGGTACTGATGTTGGCTTTCATAACCTAATTCATTCTAACATAACCTCGAACTACAGAATTCACAATACAATTTCGAAATACACAAGGTTTTATTTGGATCGAGAAAAGTCAGAAGTTTCATTGTGTTCCTAGATCTTAAACACAGTATCTATACCGGGCAAACTAGGAACTTACACAGGCTGTACCACCAAGAATTTTTCAAAATACCACACACAAACTACAGCAAAATACCAGAGGTCACCATTTCAATGTTCTTGGTTGGGACGTATCTCCTGCCATCTATCAAGAAGCGAGAAACACAAAACACAGGCGGTATCGCCACCACGGTGTTGTGTCGGTAAAACAGTTAACTGCTGATAAGTTCACGTAGTCTGCAAATGGCTGCCAACATTGGCAAAAGGATTACAGAATCTCATTTTTTTAATGACAGTAGCTCAGACTATATACAGCGTCCGAAAACTAACCATATTTAATCTACGTATTATATAAAACGATAGGCAGAAAGACCAGTTCAAATCAATATAAAAAATTAATGCATGAAATCAAAAAGTATAAGCAGAACAAGTTCATTACCTCCAGATTGGCTGTGACTAGCTAGACACGCGTTTTTCAAGTCGTGACATCTCTTGGAAGACCCATGGGCAAGCGAGTTACAGAGGACCATATTTATTACGCAGCAGCCCTGAGGATGAGAGAAGAGATTTCTCTCGAAACTTTGGCAGAAGATATGGTTTATTCAACATTCAGCCACCTGACGTGGCTTGTAACCCGAGAGTCTTTAATCAACTTCAGTCGCCGTGAAAGCTTCACTTTATGTTCGTAACTTCCTTACATATTCAATAAATAATTGTCAGTCATTCCCAAAACCACACCTACCCCATTTGTTACAAACTTACAAAATATGAAGTTTCACTATGATAAACCACGTAGATTTATGAATATTTTTAAATTCATTAACATTATTTTCACTATAACAATATGAAGTATTAAAGTTGTATTGACTGTTATAAATTCAAATATTTTTTATCTGAATAAAATAGATGTACACCTTAAAGGAGGTCATCATGACCTACTTAAAACGTGCATCACCATTTTCCTGGAAGGACAACACCTAGCCTCCAAGTAGCTGGATTACAGGAGTACGCCACATTTCTCCAGCCAATATTTGAAATGGATTCCTGCAGAATAAACAAATTACCATTTGCACTGGTGTGCTGGGTACAACATGAAAGTGATTCTTGTTCTATTAACACGTCTCGCAGCTGTGTTAGTGCAGAAGTTGATTTCTTTCTGATGTAGTCCCAACCTTTGGAACATGTGCAGAAGCTGTTTTGCACAGTGATGAAGCACGGAAAATATCTAAATGCAAAATCCATTATATATTTGGGTGGCAAAACTATGTGAGTGTGTGGTCCAACTGATTTCATCAACTTGATCAGGTTCCAGCCAATCAAAAAGAATAGATTTATGCCACCTTGCTTTGAATATGGAGACATTCTTGACCCTCGATAAAGCCCGGTGTTGGCGTCTACTTTAGGGTTAGTTGGGTTCATCCTCATTGCTCCTCATTAGATGTAACAAGTACATGGATTTCCCTTCTTTAATGATACAGAAATTGTATTTATTTATTTATTTCACCTGTGATAACTTCCCTCTTGCAACAAACTGGAGTGGTAAGTGCATGGACTATTCTGGAGGTGATCAACCAAAAACAAGCGATTCTAACCTTACTTTTACACAGAAGTAACATATCCTAAGTGGTGATAAATGCACACGGTTATTCCCCAGAAATCTATTTATGATCATTAGAAAGCCATCACAAAAGCTTCAAAATAAATATTAATTAATATTTATGTAGTATATAAATTACAACCAGAAGCATGTAATTCTGTAGCAGCGCAAATTTTTCATTCTTGTCGTTTACTGCAAGCAATTGATGCGTCTAAGAAAATTTACTGTACGCTAAGATCATTATCTTTATTCTTTAGAATACTTTGTTGATCTCACCTAATGGGGTTGTAAGCATGAATACTTTATGACCCACAGAATTCTAATTATGTCATCAGCTTAATTTGTTATCATCATTTCATGTCGCTGCGGATCTTATCCATTGATTCAGAAACTCCATTTACGTGCTCCACAGTCCCCGCAGCAGTAATGACAAAGTTTATACTGTGATAATGAGAGAACGCATAGCAATTTTAGTAACAAATTAAAATTAATATGATCATAAATAAATATGTCCATTTTATGATTTGTAATTTCAGACTCCGATCACAGAAAAGTTGGAGCTGCAGTCAGTGAATGATTTCGGTTTCTTTGGAACGAAACACAAGCTTAATTCTTTTTATGTTCCGCAATTACAAAGCATATTTTGACAAGCGTACAAAAAGCTGTACTTGCAAAGATTACGCACTTCCACACCAAATAATGAAGCCCGTTATTTGCCTTCTACTGTAAGCGTAGCTTCGGACAGAAAAGTTTCTTGTTGGAGAGGGTCCAAATTGATGAAAACCTGATCAAGAAAACAAACAATTATTGTTCATGACACTGAATTTACTCTACAGCTCGTGGAAATGTAGAATAACATGAAAAAAGTGAAC